CAAAAGGCAAAGCTCTCGATTTACCGGTCAATCTACGTTCCTACCCTCACCTATGGTCATGAGTTATGGGTAGTGACCGAAAGAACGAGATCGCGAGTGCAAGCGGCCAAAATGGGTTTCCTCTGCAGGGTGGCTGGGCTCTCCCTTAGAGATAGGGTGAGGAGCTCGGTCATTCGGGAGAGACTCAGAGTAGAGCCACTGCTCCTCCGCATTGAGAGGAGCCAGATGAGGTGGCTCGGGCATCTGCTTAGGATGCCTCCTGGACGCCTCCCTGGTGAGGTGTTCCGGGCATGTCCCACTGGGAGGAGGCCCCAGGGAAGACCCAGGACACACTGGAGGGACTATGTCTCTCGGCTGGCCTGGGAACGCCTCGGGATCCCCCCAGAGGAGCTGGAGGAAGTGGCCGGGGAGAGGGAAGTCTGGGTTTCCCTGCTGAGACTGCAGCCCCCGCGACCCGACCTCGGATAAGTGGAAGTAAATGGATGGATGGATGGATTTTCAGTTACAGTTGTACACTCAACTTTCCAATGCATAACAAGAATAAAAAATCTGCAGTTTATGAAACAAATGGAAGAGTGGTAAAAACCTTGGTGTGCAAAAACTGTTACTGTTTTTAATGCAAATACATCAGTTCTAAAAGGCAAATGAAACCCAACATTTCAAGTGTAAAATGATGGACAGACTGATTATTTTAAATACAACAGAAATATATACCTTATTGATCCCAAGCAGCAAATTCTGGGCCTGGAAATTCTGGATCAATGATACCTGTGTTGATATCACATACATTCAGCTATGAAGTGATTAATTGGTGGCAGCAATATATGCCCAAGGTAATTAGATACATCCTTATCTGATTGGCCAGATAATTGCTGCTTTCTTAAAATTATACTGAAATGCCTCACAAACATGATGACTTGTGTTTCTGCATGTCAATGTGTTGTCATAGGGCTGAGCTTGCTGGACAGATTGCAAATTACGGAATTTCTGTTTGCTGGCCCTTTCTATATCTAAACGTATCATGGCCTATAATGTGGTCATTAAGAAGATTCTGTAAGGTACATTACTGAAATATGCCTGTGTACCTTTCAGAAGCTCCACTCACTCCAGATTTTCATCGCCTCATGATGGAGTTCACCAAGGCTGCAGCTCAACTCAAGACAGAGGCATCAAAAATACGCTTAGGAAGTGTTGATGTCTCGCAGGAGAAAGAGCTTGCCAAAGAGCTTAACGTGACAGCCTCTCCATTCCTGAGATTTTATGTCTCAGGTGACAAACAAAATCCAATTATCTGCCCAGGTAAATGAATGGAAAACGTCACACTTCACCATCGCAAAAGTTCCCATTGTCACATGGGCAGCTGTAATGCAGTACCCTGTCATCTCCTGCCCCCATCTCAGTTTTAAGAAGTGCTGATCATATTATTACATGGCTAAAGAGGAGGACAGGCCACAGTGCTGAGGTGATCAAAAACACCACGCAAGCAGAGACTTTCCTTCTGGGCGATGACCTGGTGGTAATCGGGTTTTTCAAGGTACATTTTCTACTTAAAGCTGCATTACATACCAAGAAATGGCTTCAAACTCATTTACACCCGTTTACATCTGTATGACTTGTTTATCACGACAGGAACTTGATAAAGGGACAGTGGAGGTGTTTTATGACGCTGCTACTGATATCCCAGATCTGCCTTTTGGAGTGACCAAAAGTAAAAACATATTTGCTAAGTATGAAATTGTTAAGGAAACAATTGTACTGTTTAAAAAGGTAAGTTCAAGCAGCTGTCCTGTGTCCCGAAGCACTTTTTTTTTGGTTGTAGTAAAAATAAATTGCAAATATTATTCTTGTTTTGTATGTCATAGTGTTTAAGAATTGGTTCTCGGGCTTCAGTACAATTCATGCATGGATTTTACATGTAATTGGATGATACTGAACATAATTCTGTGGTTCTTTCGGTTAATACTTTCTTGTAGTTTAGTTGTCATGTGGAATTTCTGAAAATTCCTCCTGGGGGGATATTCCTGGCTCCCCCTGATTTGTCTTACATATTTACATTTGGTATAATTTTAGTGTTAGATTGAATACTTTCATAATTTAATATTATTTTTAATAAACCCTTGTTTCTACTCCAGTCTAAAAAATCAGAAGAGTATGAAATTTCCAGCCACACATCCAAGGAGGATCTTGTGCAATTCATTAGAATGCATGAAATGGATCTAGTGACTGAATTTAATGGGACGGTATGTATGTCACGCAAACCATCACAGAAACCAAAGCATGACTTTTCAAGACTTTGTTCACATATGAATATGGTTTTATATTCCCTTTTTGATGGTGTCAATGCAAGACATCCGCAAGAATACTGAACTCCGTGATCAACAACCATGCCATACTTTTTGCAAACAAAAGTGAAGAACACTATGAAGAAATCTATATGGCTTTTGAAAGAACTGCAGCTGAATTCAAGGGCAAGGTATTTGTTTGTTTGATTGATTGCTGGTTTAAATTGCATTATTATTAAATATGCAGCTGTGAAAATGGAAACCATGTGAAATTAAAACGAAAAAATTCTAAAAAGTAATAATAGCAATAATAAAAGTAATCAATAGCAATGTCTGTTTTCACACACTATGTATCTATATAGATACATAGAGATTTTAAGTTGTCCAGGTGAAATACTCCACTTTTCCAGGTCTTATTCGTGTTGATGAATACAAACGAGCACAGGAACGGACGCATGCTGGAGTATTTCCGAGTCCGTGCCGTAGAAACCCCCATGGTCAGAATAGTGAACATGACGGACAGCGTACAGTACCAAATGCAATCAGGGGACATAACTACAGAAAATGTACGAGCCCACTGCCTGCACTACTTGGCTGGGAAAGCAAAGGTATTTTATGGTTTTTCTCAAGCCTTTGCTTTAATTGGTTGAATTTGTTTTCGGAATTCTTAACGTTTTTCTTGTATTACCTTTAGGCCAAGTTACAAAGTGAACCAATTCCTAAAAACTGGGACAAGAAGCCTGTTAAGGAACTTGTGGGCATGAACTTTGAGAAGGTTGCCTTCAACGAGAAGAAGAATGTGTTCATAATGTTTTGTATGTATGACCGATTAATATGATTATTGTTTCTCCATTCTAATTATGGTTTCATGTATATTATAGAACTGCATAATCTAGAAGATATATTATTGCACCTATTTCTGTTATTATTATTATAATGACACATTTGCCCCCGAATTCTATAAAGATATTCATCCATCCAACCAGTACTGGAAGAGGCTGGGCATCAGAAGGCATCTGCCCCTGGGCCTCCCCTCCCCCCAGCCAGCAAAATTATATCGAGAGACAGTCATACAAAATTCACAACAATTTATAGAGACCTCCTCCCCATGTCGACAAATGTTACCTAGGGGGACCCCCAGCCGGCTGTGAGACCCCTTCTCCAGCCCTGCATCCAATTACTACCCCATACAGGATTTCAGGTCTACAAAGTAGTGCATGTTAGTATAGTATTGAACAGAATAGTTCAAAAGGTAATGTCTGTATGTTAACATTGAGATATCTCTGTCATTATTCTTTTGTCCATATACACTGCATGTGTACAGATACTCCTTGGTGTAAAGAATGCCAAGCTTTTTTTCCTCTGTGGGAAAAGCTTGGGAAGGTGTATGAGAATCATGAGAGTCTGGTCGTCGCCAGAATAGATACCACAGCCAATGACATCAACATCATCTTCCTGGAGCGTAACCCTTCCTTCAAATTTTTCCCTGCTGTCCATTCAGAGAAGGTTGGTACAGTCCATAGAGATGTGCCTATTGTTTATTAATGGATAATATGGTGCTACAAATGATTTATTTAAAATTAAAAGAATTTTCGAAAGAGTAATATATTAATTTTCTGTCACACATTGCACAGGTGATTCCCTATTCCGGAGAGAGGACCTTGGAAGAATTTATTACATTTGTGGAGGGACAAGTAGAATTAGCCAAAGATGTAAAGGCAAGGGTAGGTGAATAATCTTGTGTGTGTGTAGATAAGGTTTGCATTACATTGTGACAATGTTCCTCACAATGTAATAAAAACCTGTTATTTTGATGTTGTGGGTACCATTTTTCAGGTCCGCACAAAGATCTGTGAATGCAATCAAAAAACTAAAAATGCCACAAGTCTCGTATTTTATTTGATTACTTATGGTTATGGATAGGACTGGGTAGGGGTTAAGGTCGTCATGTTGGGGTTAGTGTTTTCCTCTTAGAAATAAATGGAGAGTCTCCACAAAGATATAATCACAAACCTTTGTGTGTGTGTGTGTGTGTGTACATATCCTGGGTTGTTCCCTGCCTTTTGCCCATAACCTTTTTAAGCTACATGTACTAATATCTTCAAATCTTTTTTTTCTTGCAGGAAGAAACAGATTGGGACAAATTTATTGAAGAACAAAAACTAAAAGAAACTGTAAAAGTGGAACTTTAGCTTGAATATGCTAAAAGAGTGCAATCTTTTAAAACTGACCTGAAGACTTCAAAACCCATACTGAAGTGTCAGAAAGTGTCAGAATGAAAGGTTGACCTGCTAAAAATGCAGCTTGGCGGCTCCACCACAGATTCTATGCATTTTTTTCGACAGAGAGATAAGTTTAGTGATGTGTGATAGAATTCAGCTCCCTTGATACCATCATCTCCTCCCTAGTCTTCGCTTCCTGTTTCCTGCTTTGTGTCATAATAACCACAAGTGCAAAACATGTTAGTAATACCCATATGATAATAACTGTAGACTGCGGTAACAATGAAACGTTCAAATGCGCTAATTTAAAAATAATTAATTTGGTTTAAATTAGTTTCATACAGTATTTTCTTTCACTGTCTTTGCCCCTTAAGGATGATTGACTTAAATGTCTTTGAAATTAATTGACTCAAAGGCACATATAACTTTCTATTATTATGTTTGCCAATTTCAATGTTAATTATTTTAACCAAGTGCTAATTGACTTTGCTTTGCAATTGACTAAGCTGGGTAAGAATAAAATGATCTTGTATGAATGAGTGCAACTGAACTTTATTTAAAATATGTTCATGTAAAATGTGTGAAGTGAGGCATCTGAGGTGTACCTCACATTTACTGTTAAGTGGGCAGGTTTGGATCAATGTAATGCTGACTGACATGAGGGTCAAATCTCAAGACATATAGCTGAGACTCAGTGTTACAGTTTGAATTCTAAATGGAAATTTTGTATTTGTAGAAGCTGAATTTAATGTGCATTAGTGTAACATAAAGGAAATCGTAATGGTTGATGACACGAATCTTTCAAATAAATCATTTTTATTAGCAAATCTATCACCAGATGATGACACTGTACATAGAAAATGGATGGAGACACACTGAGATGTTAGCTGAGGTATAAACACTCCGTGCTGAAAAAGGATGCAAATCATCATCGTATAGAATTACATTTTCATGATTGCTAATTGAAATTTGTATTAAGGCTTATCCAAAACTCTTCTGGCCCTGTTAGTGTATTTTGGTGTATTGCAGGGGTAGGGAACCTGATCCACGGAGAGCCGGTGCGGGTTTTTGAGATGACCTCTCAATCAGCCAATAATAAAGCAGTGGTTCTCAACTCCAGTCCTGGGAACCCTCTGTTATTGACTGATTGAGAGGCCATCCCAAAAACCCACACCCACACCAGCCCTCCATGGAACAGGTTCCCCGCCCCTGGTGTATTAGTTGTCTCAAGCAATATTATCTGACAATCAAAAAATGTCCACCGGATATTCAGATGAACTTGGGTGAAGGGGCGGAGTTCTAAAATGAATGATATCAGTGGTTCACTGAGCACTGACATGCCGTGGAATTGTGACTTCAGACAGGCAAGGTAAGAACTTTTTTAACTGAGTTTTGGTAAGAGCCTGTGATTATTAAAACAAACAGACTTTGGCTAAGTTACATTTCTAGCCAGTATTTAGCCATTCTATATATATTTTAGTGATGTTGCTATGAATATTGTCATTTTAAGTATTTATTTTATGTTTCATAATCTTCTAAGCATACATTATAATATCTAAAATAGCTACATTAATTGGATTATCATTAACAATTGTTTCCAAATTTAAATAAATAATAGTTTCAAGCCTGAAACATGTGTTATTAACTTAGACTTAGTAGGGCATCATTACCTGAAGGCTTTGGCTGTTTTTTTAAATAATATTTTAGTATTGTCTCTTCTAGCAGTAGGTAGCATAAGGACACAGACGGTTATACAGTATATCCTCCCACAACCCTGAATAGGACAAGTGGTCTTAGAAAATGAGTGTACATATATCTCAAAAGGTACAATCATTTGTGTGTGTGTGTGTGTGTGTGTGAGAGAGAGAGTGTGAGAAAGAGAGAGAGAGAATGAAATTGAAATGTTTGATTTTATGTATACAAAGTTATCAAATTTATCACAGACAGACAGCCCTCTCAAATGAGATTCCCATTCAATGTGCACTTATGAAACAATGAATATGGTGATCTCAGAAATGGCAGTTTTGGTGTGAAATACAGTACTGATGCCTTGCATTACTACAGCACTATAGTTCTTTTTATGTAAGTATCTAAAATATGTGTTAGGGAGACTACCAGTTGCATTGCAATCTTTCAGATACAATGATGACTAATAGCTGAGGCACTTAGCTGTCTGGTATCCTTTTCACAGGTGGCCCTCACATGCAGTTCTGCTTCCAGGCAGAAGGGGGCAGCTGTGAGTAATCTCAGCCACTTTGCAAGCTATTAAATGTTGTTGCATCACTAAAATGTACCAAAGTGTGTGAAAAGGTCAAATGGGACACAGGATCTGACAAGGCTGTCCATTCACTGAAAAAAGTAATATTTCTAAAAATAACAGACAAATTTACAAAAAGACTGCATGCTATTCATTATTTAACATATATTTCAGAGCTACAGGTTCAGCGCCACAGAAACCGGAGACAAACCACTGTGATCTCTTTCATTTATATTTAGTATTGAGTACATGTAAGCTGTATTTGTACCGTAATTAGTAGTGAAATATTTCTTACCTTTTATTTAAAAGCATATTAGAATGGTGGAAGCAGATTAATCAAGAATGTATGTCAACAGTCAAAGAGTCAATTACCAATTATTGATATTCACCTGGTCACATACCTTCTCTTTTGTGTGGTATATAAATGGGAAATAAAGAGAATGGGTATGGAGGGAGAAGGCATGGGTTCTCACAAATTAAGTGTATACATTATATTTTATATTACTGAATATTTGCAATAAGGCCATACTGTAAATGTACACTCTGAATTTATTGAAAGTGTTTTCCTTCCTTAAAACTCGTGTTCTATATTTAAGTACTAGTGATGGTAATGTGTTTATAGTCAGAACTTGTTTAACTTGTCTGAAGTCTATCTAATTCCTTATCTTTTTTCATGCAAATATGCAACTTTGACCTGGAAGTGAGCAGCAGATTCATGAAGAAAATATGCTTTGAAATCAGCATTTGTTTAAAAATTATATTCAGTTAAATCATCCATTTTCTTTTTCTTTAGAAGATGAGTGACTTTTCAGAAACTGGGGATGAAACTGACTTTCCTCCACCGTATACTATACCAGGTAGAGCATTATACGTGTGTGTGAATTTATTTTCTGATCATCGTCTCTTGCTTTGTGTTCCATCAAATTAAATAGATAAGCACTTATCCATCGAAAGGTCTCATCTGTAGATTTATGTGGGTCAAGACCAAACTAGTGTTTGTTTTCTTAATGGCCTTTAACGTGTTGTCCCTACATTGAGAGATGTTTTGAAATCTCTGTCAGCTATTCCAGTTTTAGGGTGTGGTCCTCACCTTTTTTTGTATTTCAAGTGGACATAAGTGCAGATGAAGTGAGGATGTACAACCTGCATACACCTTTCAAACCGCCCCCAACAACTAGAGCACAATCTGTTTACAAAACCCATTTCCCCACGGCTGGTAAGTCACTGCTTTATTGAACTATCATGTACAATGTAACTACTTTCACTTGCTCTTAACCCCAATCAAGTAATAATTCTTGATAGAAGCATAACAAACCAACCTTAAGTAACTTAAACTTAATATTGGAAGTTCCATGTATGGTTATTATTATTGATACAGAATTCCCAAAGTTAAATGCTGTGATCATTGTGTACCTGGACAATGATAACCAGCTGAGGTAACCTTCTCTGTGTTTTAGCCAAGTCAAATTCTTCAACTTTACAAAAGTTTGTCAGCTATGAAACTGAACTGGGACGTTCACCAGGACGAACTACTTGCCCTTACTGTCAGCAGCAGGTCACAACTGACGTCAGCTACAAAACTGGTACCTTTGCGTGGCTTATGTGCTTGCTCTTCATCCTGTGTGGGTAAGGATGGTATCTTTAATCCTTTATTCAACTAAACAGAAGACTTCTCTCTCTCCTGATATGGACAAAAACCTTTCTTTTCAATCTGAATTCCAGATTGGTGATTGGCTGCTGCTTGATCCCCTTTTTTGTCAAATACTTCAAAGATGTGTATCACGGCTGTCCAACATGTCACCAGATTCTTCATGTTAACAAAAAGTCTTGCTGCTAAACCAGCTCTTTAGATGTGCAAAGATAGCCTTTGGTGACCATTATCACTTGCTGCCCTTTTGAAAGTCCCCTGTATTTATTACTTGTTTGTTTAAATGCATTTGTTCAAGAAATCATGCACTTACTTGTAAAATGGCTTGGTCCACTGGCTTTTTTTTGCCTTTTAAGCTACACAATATTATCGCTACCTTTACTATGCCAAGTAGTCTATCCAAGAACAAGACTTGCAGTTTTATTTTTATATTTATACATGTGATCACTATGTGCATATCCAACAATCTACTTGCTAATATTTTAAGAAATGTGATATTTAGATAAAAAGCAAGGAATAATTATTCTTCTTCTAATCTTGTAAGTTTTTTGTTGTAACTGTATTTTTCTCAGTCAGTTGCCTCCAAGGTAATTAAATGACAGTAACTAAGAAAAAAGGAAACTTTAAAAAAATTAAAGTAAAATCTTCAGCTCCAGGTTTCCCAGTCTGTTTTTTTCTCATATTATTCTTTTGAAACTTGTATCACATTTTTGAATCTGTTGTCACTGCATTTCTTCCATGGATCATGCAATCCAAGCTGACTGTTCTCTTAATGCATTAAGAATTTTCTTTAGAGACTAGGTGACTAAATTTGCAAATGTAATTTTAGTGAAGCTTAGGACTCATAAACAAACAAAAACAGCAAGGGGTATTTCATGCCTAATATTGCTTTGACAAGTTTGGGAAACAATGCTATATAGGATAATAACCCTATAGAGTTGTGGTCACAATATTCACTTAATATTTTAAAAATGTAAGTACAAATAGGATAGGGAATATAGTCTTAGTTGCTGTCATGTTTCTGCTGGAGACTCATGTCACTCAGATGCCTTGGGCCAACAAAGTGAAATGTGCTTCACCACAAATATGCACAAGCATACCGTTAAGGACAAAAACATGAGGAATGCTAGCAGACACCAAGCTGAAACCAGTTAACTGATTCATAACAAATACTTTCAGAAAAGACAGCGACATGATCAAACATGAATAGAAAATGGGTGGAGTACTGAAATGCAGTCACCGTACAGCAGAATATTTCATGGCAGGAATCAGACTCAGAAAACAGATCTGGGTAGAGATAGGAATTTGGCCTAATAATATTGTGACATAGAATCCTATGTGTGAGTGGAATATAGACAGATTAACTGGACCTACTGTAGCACAAGAAAAATAAAATACAGCTAATGGACATCACAGAAATGCATCTAACAAAATATATCTGTCTTCTAATGGGTTATTCAGTTGGGTTGGGAATGAGGTGGATGGGATGGAGCTGATCCAGGCAGCATAGGACATAAGGAAAAGACACGCCTGGGATGTCAGTCCATTGCAGGGAACACATCTATATACAATCATACACTAATCAGAGATGCCAACCAGCCTGAATGCATGTATGTTGGCTATGGGAGGAAATGTGCATGACTCAGGACAAACATACTCTCCACAGAGTCAAGGGTATGAATATATTTTTAACTCAATAATTGAACCTGAATCCTTATGGAGCTCAAAATGGGAAAGGGTAGGAAAATATTATTATTAATCAATTTTGTGTTATCTCTCAATTGTTTAATAGTGTGACCATACAGATGCTCCTCCACTTATGAACAAGTTATGTTCCGAACGGCCGTTTGTAACTTGAAATGTTCGTAAGTTGTTATTCAACATAATTTTAAGGGTATACACAAGTATAAAGAACTAGGATGCTGGGAGTACGCATGCTACTGCTGAGGGAGTAACGGCCAGAAGTTGTACTAGGTGGAATTGGTGCGCAGAAAAAAAATTATGTAGTGGACAGGAAACAGGAGCCCAACTAACACAATTTGGACTTACAGTCCACTTCATTCGTACGTCTGAAAGTTCGTAAGTTGAAAGTTCGTAAGTAGAGGAGCATCTGTATTTTGCTTTGCCAATGGGGGCAGTATGCAAAGAGAGGTGTCAAAACAACGAAAATGTGCACACAGAAAGTATTCTGGCCATAGAAAGCATATGTTAGCATAAAACAAATCGAGATTTTGACATTTCACTCCTTTTTAAGTTCCAAAAAAAGAGAACGTATGATCACCCTATTGTTAAAACATATTAGCAAGGGGAAGCTAAAGTTTAACGAAGAAAACTGTTTAAAGAAATATTTTCCAGCCCATTATGGATTCCATAAATCCCTGTTCAAGAGTACTAGTGATATGGCTCAGCAAACTTCAGACTGCAAATCCATCTACTTATATTTTGATATAATCAGATATATGCATAGATTTTCCAGCTACATTTGAAATGAACATCACACTTGTACAAATAACCAGCATAATTATGAACTAAGGCCAATGATCCTTTGCCAAAGGGATAAATATAAATTTTACTTTAAAAGCACTCAACCCAAAGTCTTTCCACTGCAATCACTATTGCCACCTTGGGGAAAGATTCAGAATGACACCTGGAACCTGTTTCAGAAAGCAAGATTTATATTTTTGTATTTTTATGCATTTTAATAAATGCAAAATAAAAAATGTAAAGTAAATTGCAATTCTTTTTACAATAAAAATCATATATAACACATAGTTTACACAGTTTTTTTTCTTTACAAAAAACGTCAAAGCTGAAGGATATTTTTATGTCCTGTCTCCCTCAGTCCTGTCCTCGGAGGCGTAGGGACAGGACAGGCCAGGCAGGGAATTACCTGGGGCCCCTGAGCTGGGCCGATTACATAGTACATTATATTCTCTTTGTTGATATTATTAATTTTGACTTCCTGCTAAAATAATAGCCATAAATGTTACCATGTCAGGGGAAGGTGCATTGGAGGGCTCCATGGAGTTTTTTGCCTTGGGCCCCCAGTGTCCGTAGAATCGCCCCTGCCTGTCCTGTTCCTGTATGGCCAGCAGAGGTCTCCCCTGCTGGACATCCCATATCCATAATCATTCACAACTGTCCCTCCTGTAGCCCTCCATGACTGATGATGATGATGATTACACTTACCTGTATCTGGTTATCCCTAGCCTATTGTGGTAATGTCTTGCACCTGTCTGTAGTCAGTCTTTAGTCCTTGGTGTATATACAGTATGTGCCCTGCCTTCCTGTGCTCCCCATATCTGTCATTGTTTACCCGTTGCTCCAAATTCCTGGTAGGTCCAGGCAGGGACGCCGTAAGGGGGAGGAAAGCTAGGACGATTCCAAGGGCCCCTGAGTGACAGGGGCCCTAAAAAATTAGGAAAATAACTGGATTGGTTTGGACTGGGGGGCCTAATATGATATGCTTTCATGGGGCCCAAAATCTCTAGCAAAGCCCCTGGGTCCAGGTTCCCCATCTCTGAGGATGCCTTTAGGGTTTCTTTGTGCCTCCTAACCCACTAGGACGTGACAGATATCCTATGTTCTGGACAATTAAATATTTAAAATATAACATATATATTTAAATGCCATTCCTGCAAGCTGCCATAATAAATTGTTTTTGAAGAATTTATTTATTTTTCATAGTAACAGTGTCATCTTATGGACATCCTAAGGACACCCCCAAAAAACAAGGTACATGATGCAGCCATCTGGGGGATGTCCTCTGGCTGGCTGTCCCTTGTTTATCTTTATCTGAGCCAATATGAGCTCCATCTCAATAGCATAGAAGAAAGACCTTACAGAGGGTATGTTTGTTGACATTTCAGAAATGTCAGAAATGTCTTTTTTTGCATTTTAATTTGTCATTTGATTGGTCATTCCACAGCCAGTAATGTTGCACAACAGGTGATAGCTCCTCAGAATAGTTAACGTTACCTATAAATGCAATTTTTTAATACAATATATATTAGTCTGTGAAATGGGAAATGCATAACATACATTTTAATAGATGTAAGCAATATTCTGTCTGCCAAGGATAATAGTTGACCCAAGTGAATCACAGCATACAACTGATTTCCTGGACAATGTATCAACGACTGGGATGTCCTTCCCGGGCCTATACTTGACAATGATGTCATATCTTTGGAGTTGCAGTATCATACTGTATGCTGTAGATGGGGGGAGCTGCTGCCAAGGGTTTCTGCAGGATTGATTCTAGCGGTTTGTGGTCCGATTTGATGGTTACGGGTCACCCATAAATATATTGATAGAAGCATTTGCATTTGAAGAGCACTGTATAGAGCTCTTTCTCAATTTAAGTTTAATTTTTGCTGTCTCGTTTAGGGCTTTTGAGGCGTATGCTACTGGTCTTTCCTCTCGCAGTATCACAGCTCCTAGGCCATTCTTGGAGGCATCAACTTGGAGTGTCACTTCCTTGGCAGGGTCAAAGTAGGTGAGGATACAACCTGGCTCCTGTGTGATGAGGTCTTTAACCTGCTAGAAGGCAGTGTCATGGTTGGGGTCCCACGCAAACTCAGTATTGTCTTTCAGCAGCTGACGAAGTGGGGAAGTCACATCAGTAAGCCTGAGTGCAAATCTGGAAAGGTTTGTGACCATCCCAAGGAAGGTCTTGAGCTGTGCCTTGCTGAGGGGTGGCTCCAATTCCTTGATCACCATTGCTTTTCTTGGGTCGGGTTTGAGGCCATCTTTTGTCAGATTGTGCCCGAAGTAGCACAATTCCTGCACACAGATGGTGCATTTCTCCGGGTTAAGCTTAATGCCTCTTTCTCTGATGCTTGCAGGTTGGCATCGTGCTCCTCCCTACTGCGGCCATACACCAGAATGTCGTCAACAATGGCAGAAACACCCTGGAGCCTTTCATATGTTTTCTCAATGCGCCTCTGAAATTCATCTTGGCCTGATATTACCCCAAATGGGAACATAAGGAAACAGTACCTCCCAAAGACAGTGTTAAAGGTTGTTAACATCGATGACTCATGGCTCAATTTATTCAACCAGTATCCAGACCTTGCATCCAGTACACTGAAGTACTGTGCTCCTGTTAATTTTGCTGTGATGTCTTCTAATACTGAGAGCGGATAGGGTGGACGCTGGATGTCCCTATTAAGATCGTGTGGGTCGAGGCATATTCTATGCTTACCTGTCCTGGGCTTTTCTACAATCACTAGTGCATTTATCCAGTCTGTTAGCTCGGAGACCTTGCAGATGATAGCTGACCTTTCCATCTTGTCGAGTTCATCTTTGAGTCGGCTGCGGAGTGCTTGTGAAGTGCGCCTGGGTGGGTATGTCACTGGTACTGCCGAGGGTTTAAGGCAAAAATTGCACTCAAAAGGGAACAGCCCGATTCCTTTAAACACGTCAGCGAACTTGTCCAAAATGCTCTCAGGTTTTGTTGGCTGCACATTGACAACATGGACCAACTTGACCATGTTCAGGTCTAGGCATGCTCTGAAGCCTAGGACAGGGGGGCCTTTGTCCTCTGTCTGCTCAGTCACGACAGAGTGTACCTTTCGCTCTCTGTGTTTTACCGGGTGTTGCATTTGGGTACTGCACACCTTGGAACAGTGATTTGACTTCATGCATTTTGTTGCA